ATTAATGATGAGAGAGAATGATTGATTGGCTGCTTCCTGCAAGCCCCCTACCGAGAATCGAGCCTGCAACCCTAGCACATGCCCTAACTGGGAATCAAACATGACCTCCTGGTTCATAAGCCAACCCTCTACCACTGAGCACACTGGCCAGGCTATCCTCATTTTTTAAAATTCATTTTTTATTTTCCTGCTTTGATAGTATGTTTTCTGCTACCTTGTCTTCCAAATCACTGATTCGAGCTTCTGCTTCATCCAACCCGCTGTTTATGTTTTCTAGCATATTCTTCACCTCTGATATTGTATTCTTTATTTCTGATTGCTTCATTTTTGTGGTTTCCATGTCCTTTTCTATGCTTGCTATCTCTGTTAAACTTTAACTAATTTCCTTGTATATCATTATAACCATTTTTTAAAACTCTTTATCTGATAAATTCCTTGCTTCCATTTCATTTAGCTCTTTTTCTTGAGAATTCCCCTGTTGTTTTACTTGGGGCATGTTTCTTTGTCTCCCTATTTTGGTTGCCTGTGTATGTTTGTTTCTATGCATTATGTAGATCTGCTGTGGCTCTCATTCTTCATAGGGTAGCCTTATAGAGTAGATTTATTCTGGGACCCACTGGCACAGTTTTCTTGAGTGCTCAAGGAATGTCTCTTGTGTGTGTTATGTGGATCCTTCTGTTGTAATTGAGTCTTGATTGCTATTGGCCAGTTCTGTGGGGTCAACCCTCAGGTTGCTGACTGTGAGGATTGACCCCAACTACAGTGTATGAGCTGTTTTGTAGATGCTGACCACACGAAGCAGAATTCACCTCAGCAGGGTTTGATGCCTGCCAAGATCTTTCTTTGGTTATGCTGCTTGTGAAGTTAGTTGGATCCTGCTCTGATGTTGTTTGAAGCTGGCTACTGGGTTTGTTGATTCTTGGACCTCTTGGTAGGTACTCTGATGCAGGTCAATTTCAGACTCTGACTGTGACTCACCCTGGGAACCTGTTTGGAGCTACAAAGTAATCGACAGTTTGTGGATTACTGTCTCTGCTGTGTCTGGGTTTGCAAACTGCTTTTACCAGCACTGGGCATAGGGACAGGTCAGCAAAAGTCATAAGGCACCCTGACATCTGCCTCCACTTGACAGCTGGGTCAGACACTGAAAGACCCTCTGGTGTTGCTGGAGTTGAATGAGGTACTTTCTCAGTGAGTCACCAGGATGATACAGCTTCAAACTCAGTGTCCGTGCTAGGTCTGAGGCCATTCAGCAAAGGTCCCAGGATATATCAAGTTTGGCTTCTACCTGCAGGGTGTCCGCTGACCTTTGTGGTGGGGCAGGGGTCTCAGGGTGTTGTCAGAGTGAGGCTAGCAGAGTTTATCAGTCCAAAACAGACCAAGATTTGGCTGCATGAATGGAAGGCTCTGCACTGGTCGGGCATTTGTAGGAAACATGGCCCCCAACCTAGAGCAACACAACTTAATCTGTGCAAGATTCTGCCAGGAGCTTGAGCTCAACAGGGTAATGCTGCCCAGAGTCAGAAGGCTGAGGCTAGTGGATCTCCCATGAGGGGGAAGTGCTGATCAGGCTTGAGGGAAGGTAGGAGGACTGGCCCCTGCCCCAGAGCCACACAGCTCAGTCTGTCCGAGCTTCTGCCCAGACCTAGTCAGTGAGAGAGTGGGGCCACCTGGAGCCCAGAACACGGGGCTGTAGGATCTCCCATGAGAGGTAGTCACCAGTCAGATCCAGGGTTAAGTGGAGTGAATGAGCTCTGTCCCAAAGCCACACCACTCAGTTACTGACACCCCCTGAGTCTGCCCACATCTCTATACCCCGGCCCTGGCAGCTGACTCCTCAGCAGGGCATGAGCTTTGCAGCTTGGGGTATATGGAGTTTAGAGGGTTGGGTTATTATTTTCCCCCAGGATGATGCCACACAGAAGGGAGGGCTTCATCCAAGACAAATGGGGTCTGTGGTGTGAGAGAATAACTCAGCACAGAGGTCTTGGCTGCTGTCCTTACTTCTCTCCCCAGAGCCACCAACCCCAGTCCGTGCTCACACAACTCCAGTCTGTCCCACCCTGCCTCCTCCAGAGCCCAGGGTGAGTGCAAATGAGATTTTGTGCGTTGGCCCTTCAGGAGGGTGCCCATGTCTTTTGCAGACTCCCGTCTCTCTCTGGCAGACAGGATCACTGACTTTCACAGCCAGGTGTCTGGTGCAATAGGCTGTGGAGCTTGGCCTGAGGTTGAGATCCCATGCTCCTCAGGGAGAACCTTTGCAACCGTCATATCTCTCCAGAATCTCAGCCACCGCCTGTGGGAGCGGGGCCAGCCCTTCTCATGTATTGCCCTTTCTATCAGCCTCCATGTGGCTTCTGTAAATCCTTGGTTATAAGACTTATGGTCAGCTAGTCTTCAGTTGTTATTCAGGTGGACTGTTCTATATTTTATTTGTAATTCCATGTTGGTTTGGGAGGAGGTGAGTGTAACATCCACTTGGTCTGCCGTTGTCTTGGATCTCCTGACATGTTTTTTTTTAATGCTAAGAGATTTTTATTAGAATGATGATTGTTGATTAGAAATCATGGTGTTTACATTCTTAAGTTCTGGTGCATCTGATCGGAACTTTCTAAAGGAATTCTCTGGGCAGATTGGAGCAGAGGTATTTTGTGAGGCACCAGTGTAGCCCCTAATGACTAACACCAAGTGTAAAATGCTGATTCTATCTTAGCGCTCCAGATAATTCCACATGTAGAGAACTGTTCTTCATTTTTTTTACCTTTTGCCCTATAGCTCCTACAGTTTATTCATGGGATAGAGGACTTGACTTTAACCATATCCTTTCAGATTATATTTTGTCTTCTTATCTCTTAAGTCGTTGGTTTGAAAAAAACATTTGAAAAATAATTATCTAGATCATTGTGCAAAGAATACAATGTTTTGTTTATTATATTAAGAACATCTTTTTAAGTAGTTCTTTTTGAGACAGTAGGTATATCATTGAGGCTAAGTTTGTGAACTCTAGAGTCAGCTGCCTGTTTGTGCCTATAGCTGTGCTGCACATCAGACGCCTCATCTTGTGCTGGTGTTTAATACCCAGTGCCTCAGTTTATCATCTGTAGAATGAGGATGACAGTAGTACCTACTTTCATAGTATTGTTTAGAGCAGGAGTATACATGAGTTACTTCACATAAACAGAATTATATGTAGAAGAGTTTACATATATTAGGTAGAGGTAGACATATGTAAAGTAGAGGTTCTTTGGCATGTTTTTATGAGAATTTTAAAAAAATTTAACACACACATATTCAGAAATAATTGGTGCTTATAGGAAAACTAGAAGCCTGGTGCACAAAAATTTGTGCACTGGCGGGGGGGGGGGGGGGGCCCTCAGCCCAACCTGTGCCTTCTCACAGTCTGGGACCCCTCGGGAGATAACCACCTGCTGGCTTAGGCTCGCTCCCCTGGTGGCAGATGGCATGCCAAATCCCACGGTGCCTGTCCCGTCTCCCCCAGTTGCAGATGGCAGTCCCGGATCCCGCTCTGGGTCGGGTGGCGGCTCGGGATCGTGCAGCCGCCCACCCCCCCACCCCGGGCCGCACATGGCAGGCCCGGATCCCGCGCTGGGGCAGGTGGCAGCTCGGGATCGCACTGCCCCCTGCCCTGCCCACCCGGCCCGCCCTGCCCCACACATGGCAGGCCCGGATCCCACGCTGGGGTGGGCCTGCCGCCGGTCCCAGGCGGGGCAGCGCAGCGGGATCTGCCTGCAGTATTCAAATTTAACAGCCATCTTTGTTGGGTTAATTTGCATACTCTTCTGATTGGCTGATGAATGTAGCGAAGGTATGGTCAATTAGCATCTTTGTCTTTTATTAGTGTAGGTAAGTGCCTATGGGAAAACAAAGTAGGTAGTAATGATAATATATATAATATATAATGTATTAAAATGATGTTTAAATCATTGTAGAAAGAGTATAGGGTGAAAATAGAAATCATTTTAAAAATTAGTAACACTAATGAATAACATATTTTGAATGCCAGGCAATGTGGTAAGTCCTTTCTGGTTTCAACAACTATTTCCTTATCTGGCTAGTTCTGTAATATTGGTGAATTTCATTATCCTCTCTTTCAACTTTGATATATCATGTATGAGGTAGATGTTGATATCTGTTCTTTTTTTATTTTTATTTTTTTATTCTGGGCCAGCTTTAGCTCTGGCTCCAGCTCTGAGGCCTCTGCTGCTGAAAGCAGGTTTCTGGCCTTTGTTTACCTTCTGTATTTGAAACAATGTTGCGATCCTGCTGGCTGAAGCCTGGCGACTAAAGCAGGTTTCTGGGATTTTGTTTAGCTTCTATATTTGTAACACAGTTGCTTAGAGTTGCAGCTCAGAGGCCAGCAGCGGCAGGCGGGGAACGTTGGAGTTCTCCGTCACTGAAGTAAGCAAGCCTCATGTTCGCTTCCAGCTGCCTGGCTGCCGGCTGCCATCTTGCCTGGCAATTAATTTGCATATCGCCCTGATTAGCCAATGGGAAGGGTAGTGGTCGTACGCTAATTACCATGTTTCTCTTTTATTAGATAGGATTACACCTATCAGGTTTTATTAGTGACTACAATTCTGAACCAACTTTACATTTAATTGTTTCCCACTGTCTGCTGAACAGATTATAAGTCCCTCTCTACCCCAATGGCATAGCTCATTGCCTTTTTTGTATCCCTTGCACCTAGCACTTTCCTATGTAGAACAAGAGTAATTGGTACATATTTACGGAATAAGTAAACTAAGAAAGAAGTCAAACTGATCTTAGGGTAGCCCCTATTTCTATGAATCAGAAAACTGAGCTTCTAAGATATCTTTAAAAAGTGGGTTACTGACCTAGGAGGAAAAGAATGTAATGTCAAATAAGTTAAAACTTGAATGTTTTATGTATTTGTCTCTGGTTGGAGGGTAAAAAATGTAGATGTTGCAACAATTCTGAAGCTTTTCTTTCAGCTTAATATATTGTAATTCATTAAACAGGGGCGGGCTAGCAGAAAGACTAAATGGACTGCAGAATCGAGAGAGATCTGCCATTTCCTTGTGGAGACATCAGTGTGTTTCTTACCAAAAGACACTTTCAGGTAAGGATTGCACTGGCATCTGAGATCATGGGTAAAAAAATATGGCATAAAAAAATGTGAAATAAATTTGCTTGGTATATATGTTCTTTAAGACCGCTGTTTCCTTGTTGAGTTTCTGTCTGGATCTCTCCATTGATGTCTATGGAGTGTTAAAGTCACCTACTATGACTATATACTGTGACCCTCTCCCTTTATGTGCATCAATATTTGCTTTATATATTTAGGTGCTCCTATGTTGGGTGCATAAGTGTTTATAAGGGTTATATCCTTTTTTTGCATTTATACCTTTATTATTATGTAATTTCTTTATCTCTATGTATAGCCTTTCTTTTAAAGTCTGTTTTTTTATAATTATTGCTACCCCAGATTTTTTTTTCTTTTGCATTACTATCTTTTTCCTTTTCTTTACTTTGAGTCAGTCTGTGTCTTTTGATCTGATGTAGGTCTCTGTAGACAGTATATGTATGGGTTTTGTTTTCTTATTCATTCAACTACCTTTTATCTTTTGATTAGAGCATTTAATTAATTTACATTTGAAGTGATTATTCATAGGTATATAGTTATTGCAATTTTGTTACTTATATTTATGATACCCCCCTTATTTCTTAAAATATTTTTTATTGATTTCTTAAAAAGAGAGGAAGGGAGAGGGAGAGAGAGGGAAACATCAATGTGAGAGTGAAACATCGATTGATTGCTTCCTCTGTGCCCCCTAACAGGGATTGAGCCCACATCTGGGCATGAGCTCTGATTGGGAATCAAACCATCCACCTTTTGGTGCACAGGATGACACCCTACCAACTGAGCCACACCACTGGGGCTCCCCCTTATTCTTGAAGAAGCCTCTTTAGCTATTCTTATAATACTGATTTGGTGGTGATGAACTCCTTTAGCTTTTTCTTGCTTGGGAACATGTTTATTTCTTTTTTTTTTTTTAATATATTTTATTGATTTTTTACAGAGAGGAAGGGAGAGAGATAGAAAGTTAGAAACGTTGATGAGAGAGAAACATCAGTCAGCTGCCTCCTGCACATCCCCTACTGGGGATGTGCCCGCAACCCAGGTACATGCCCTTGACCGGAATCGAACCTGGGACCCTTTAGTCCGCAGGCCGATGCTCTATCCACTGAGCCAAACTGGTTTCAGCTTTATTTCTTCTTCAATTATAAATGACTAGAGGCCTGTTGCATGAAGAGATTCGTGCAATAGGCCTTCCCTTCCCCTGGCTGCCGGCACTGGTTTTCCTCTGGCACCCAGGACCCAGGCCTTCACTCCAGCCGGAGCCTTCAGTCTTTGTGGCTCCGGATGTAGCCTTCAGTCTTCACCGCTCCAGATGGAGCCTTCAGTCTTCGCTCAGCCGCTTCGCCCCTATGTATGCAAATTAACCACCATCTTTGTTGGGTTAATTTGCATACTCTCCTGATTGGCTGGTGAGCATAGAGGAGGGATGGTTAATTTGCATGTGTGTCTGTTATTAGATAAGATTACCTTGCTGGGTAGAATAATCTCAGTTGTAGGTTCTTTTCATCACTTTGAATATTATGTGCCAGTTTCTTCTGATGTAAAAAATTTGTGTTGAGGAATCAGCTGACAATACTATGGGAGCTCCCTTCTAGGTCTTTCTGTTGCTGCATTTATGATATGTCTTGTTTGGCCCTCTTTGGGTTCATCTTGTTTGGGACTCTCTGAACTTACTGGATAGTGAACTGACTGAAAACCCTTTTTCTTCACCAGATTAAGGAGGTTTTCAGTCATTATTTTTTCAACTAGGTTCTCAATCCCTTGTTTTTTCCTCTATGATACAGTTGTTGTTACTCTCAGTGTTCCAGATTTCCCTTAAACTCTCCTCATTTTTTTTCTTTCTTTCTTTTTAATGCTCACCCAAGGATGTATTTTTATTGACTTTTATAGAGGGGTGTGAGAGGAAGAGAGATAGAGATAGATAGAGAAACATTGATGTGAGAGGGAAACATCAGTTGGTTGCCTCCGTTATGCAGTTATTTATCCCAACCAGGAATGGAACCCACAACATAGGTATATTCTCTGACCAGGAACCTAACCTGCAACTTTTTGGTGTACAGGGCAACACTCCAACCAGCTGACCCACCTGGCCAGGACGGTCCTCATTTTCTTTTTTTCTTCTGTTTTCTGCTTTGATTGCTTATCTTCCCAATTGCTAATTTGATCCTCTGCTTCATCGAATCTGTTGTTAATTCCTTTTAGTGTATTCTTCATTTTAGTTACTGGTTCTTCTTATGGTTTCTATGTCCTCTTTTATACTGTTGACTTTCTCACTAATTTTTTGAGCACCTTTAAGACCATTGTTTTGAACTCTGTATCTGATAGTTTGCCCACTTCCATTTCATTTAGGTTTTTTTTCCCTGGAGATTTTTATTGTTATTTAATTTGTGACATTTTAAGTCCCATACTTTAATAATAATAATTTTAAAAACCGAAAATGGAAAACAGGGGGGCAGGGAAGAGGCCCCTAAGTGAAGGGCACAGGTAGCCCTGCTCATGCCACCAAGCCTGGCCGCAGTGCCCCTTGGTATTGCTGTTGCTATGAGGTCAGGGGCAGCGATTGTCCTGTGAGAGCCACCTTTCACCTGGGTTGAGGACCCTTAATTCTTCTGGGGTGTGCTCAGCTTCTGCATGCCCCAGATCTTGTCTAGCAAGCCAGAGATGAAGGCCTCAGTGGGTTTGGTAACAGTCAACCAGCAGCTCCTTGACCCTGGCAGCCTGGGTATCATCACTGTCCATGTCCAGGAGTTTGTCCACATCAATCTCCAGCTCCGGGATCTCCTCTTCTTGGCAGTTGTAGAGGCGAGTGAGCTGTTTCAGGATCCATTCCTCCAGGTTGAGGCGCTTCTGTAACTCCTTGCGGTCATACTTGACCGTGACCTTCTCTTGGCACCTCACTGGGCCATCGTTGTCCACGCCTGCAGCATCAGTGGGGGCTCTGAAAGTAGACGCGGGGCCCTGGGCCACCACCTCCCAGCCCAGGAGTGGGGCAGCCAACACTGTGCCCCCCGCGGTGCCACTTGTCTGCCTCCAGCCCCTCCCTGCACCACTGCTTCCTGGACACCCACCTGATGGCTGCGGACCATTGGCTCGAGTTAGCTGGTGGGCTCAACTCCGCAAGACTGCGGTGAGGGCAGCTGCTGCATGCGGAGCCCTGGCCCGGCTTGGCCGTGCCCCACTCCCTCCCCGCCAATCGGTCCACCTTTTGTCCCAAGCAGCCACCGCCTGGGGACTTTGTTTTAACCGTTGTCTCTCATTTTGGTTGCGTCTCTGTGGGTGTTCATATGTATTAGGTAGATCCGCTGTGTCTCTAGTTTTGATATAGTGGCCATATGCACTTTCTGTCCTGTGTGGCCCAGGTGCACTGTCTCCCTTATGCCCTGATCTGGGTGCTCCAGGAATGTTCCTTGTGTGCATTGTGTGTGCCCTCCTGTTGTGGTTGAACCTTTATTGCTGTTTGCATATTTGTGGGTCTAGTTTACCCTCATGCTGGCTGGTGTGAGGACTGGCCACAACCATTATTTATGAGTGCTGTGTAGGAGCTGACCCCACGAAGCAGAATTTGCCCCAGCAGAATCGGGTTCCTGCTGAGTCCTCCCTTTGGGTGTGCTGCCTGTAGAGGTAATCAGGTCCTGCTTTCTTGTGCTCTAAAGTCAGCCGCCTGGTTTGTTGGTTGTGCTGCCTCTTTGAAGGGAATTTAGTGCAGGTCAATGTCACATGTTTCCTGTGACCACGCCTGGGCAACCTGTTAGGAGCTACAAAGTGATCCACTGGTTGCGGGTGGGAGGGGCTATGATGCATTCTGAGGCCAGCTGCCACCATTACCTGGCTTGGGGCCCAAGGAACTCTGAGCTTTCTGCCAACTGCTGGCTGTCCATTCGGTTCAGCCACTGAAATAGACTTTGAGCATTACGTGGATTGCATGAGGCAAGAACCCAGGGAGTCACCAGGAAAGGATGAATGTAGTTGCCACCAAGGCTGGGTCTGAGGCCACTCAACAGAAGTGTCAGAGTACTTTGAGACCAGCTGTCACCTGCCAGGGCCTGGGGACCTTTGCATTGTGGTGGGGACTCAAGGCATTGTCAGGGGGGAGCCAGTAGAGTTCATCTGGCTAAAACAGATCATGATTTTGCCATGTCGAGGGAGGGCTCTGCGCAGGGGCAGTTATACCTGTTGTGTGCTGGAAAGCAGCCCTTGCCCTAAAGCTACTCAACTCTGTTTCTTTCTGTGTGTGTCTCTGGCACCCCTTCCCCCACTCCCACCCCACCCCCAACCCCCAAGCTTGCTTGAATTCTTGGAGAGATTTTTAAGAAACACTGAAATATGGCCCCTAGGCTAGTTGCTACTGGCAGAACTTATACTTGAGTGAGTAGGGTTGGGGGGCCCTCGGAGTCGGGGGTGGGGGGAGGAGGTGCTAATGTAGCTCACTAGACTAATGCTCTGAGGGGATAGTGCTTGGCCCAGGAAAGAAGGCATCCTTGAGTGGTACAGGAGAGGGATTCCTCTAGCCCTTTCCCTGAGCCACACGGCTGACTCTCTTCCTGTATAACTGGCACCCTCCAAGCCACTGCCTTTTTCCAGAGTCTAGTATGAGTGCCTGTGAGCCAGTTTGCGTGCACATTCTTTAACAGGACGCCTGGGTTCCCAGTAGCCTTCCTTCTCAACAGGGCTGAATCCCTGCTGGTTTTCACAGCCAGGTGTTGTGTGGGCTCTTCTTCCCAGCATGAGGTTGAGACCTGTCACTTCTCTGGGGGCCCTTTGCCACTGAGAAATTCCTCTATTCTCAGCTGCCCACATGTGGATGCGGGGTCAGCTTGTTTCTTGTTTTGCTCCTCTTACCAGTCTCAACATGGGTTTTTCTCTATATCCTTAGCTATAAACTTTCTGTTCAGCTAGTTTTCAGGTGGTTCTCCAGGCTGATTGTGCTGTAATGTAGTTGCAGTTTTGATGCGGTAATAGGAGGAGGTGAATGCAACCTC